ATGTCAGTGGCCACCCCTGAGCCTCTGGCATGAGAAGTATGTGTAAACTCCCAGTGGGAAGAGAACAGTCTTAGCCAATTACAGTCAAGCTATTTGACTTTTGTCTGTCTTATTAAACATAAAACTGTGTTACGTGTTAGCACATTGGTGTACCATAGAGAAAAACCTGTGCTTCATGGAAAACTACTTATTATCTATAACACATCTTCTGCATTATCTGATTCTAATTCTATGGGAGCTTTTTAATAACTCAAAATTGTAAATAAGTGATAGCAATGCAAAATAATTTCCATGCGTAGAAATGCAAATGAATTCTGCCCAGTGGAAGGACAGCCTTCTTCTCCTTGGGAAAAATCAGCTTTGTCTCCATTTGCAAATTCATTTCAATATTTCTGATCTATAAATGTGTCTGTTCTTTGTTTTTTCCTTTGAACTCGTTATAAACATCTGCCTGGTTCCCTCATTATACTTACAATAAAATCGTTAACACACGTTTATTTTATATCTGCATGAGTCATAATTTTACCTTTCTTTTAAAAAAAATTGTCTTTTAACACTAGGGTCTCTCCCAGAGCCTGCAAAGGAGCCCATGGAAGTGAGAGGCCATAAAAGGTGAACTTTATGAGCTTCATGGTAAATCTTCCATTGGAATTAAAAATTCAGGGGCCTCCCCGAGGCCGAGTAGTTAAGTCTGTGCACTCTGCTTTGGCGGTCCAGGGTTTCACTGGTCCAGATCCTGCACAGGGACATGGCACAGCTCATCAGGCCATGCTGAGGCGGCGTCCCACATAGCACAGCCAGAAGGACCTACAACTAATATATACAACTGTGTACTGAGGGGCTCTGAGGGGAGGAAGAAGAAGAAGAAGAAAAAAAATCAGGTAATGTGTGCAACATGAGAAAAGAGAAGCATGAATGGACCCACTTTAATGGGCTGGTTGAAGAAGCAAACACTGGGTAGGAGGAAAACCAGGAGAGATCAGTGCCCTGGAAAGCAAAGGAGTACAGATTTGGGAGAGTTAAATAATGGAAAATAGTGTAAAATACCTTGGCTGCAAGGAAGATAAGAACCTAGAGGTGGCAATTTGATTTGAAAATTAGGAGATGGTGGCCCTCCTTAACAGGAGCAATATTAGGACAAGAGTGAGGAAGCAGCCAGGGCACGAGGAGTGCGTGGAGGTGCACAAAGTGAGCACAGTGAGCAGGGCCTCCTATTCAAAGAACCTGACAGTGAAAGGAAAGACCAAGAGATCCCGAGAAACAAGAGTAGGCGCGTGGAGCTCAGAGTGACATTTAGTATCATCATTGAAATTTTCAGATATCTAAGAACATCTAAAAAGAAGTTATAAAGAAGAAAAAACAGCTATAATTCACAAGGAGATTACCATCACCGTTTCCACATAAAACAGGTAAATGTATATAATATATAAAATAAGAAATAATGAGTTCAAGTTTTGTATATAGATAAATATGATACAAAATTAGAATCACACACACACACACTATATATATATATATATATATATATATAATATAAGAATATACTCATTACCTTATCATGCCTGGGGGAATGTTCTCGTCTTTAATAGCCTTCCAAATCAGCAGCTTAAAGACTGTAAAATATTATGCTGTGGGTGTTCCATAATTAATTGATTCACTCTCATATTATTTGGCCTGGTCTTCATATTATTTAACAACTTTTCACTGTTTTGATAATGCTGCCATGACTTTCCTTTACATTAATCTTAACTCTGATTCATTCCAAAAGAAAAATTACTTTGAAGTAGAATTTTCGGTCAAATGGTAAATGCTTCTGGGTTTTAGTACATATTCTCAAATTTCCCTATAAATAGGCTGAACTAGGTCTCTCACGAGTGTATAAGGGCCAGTTTGCCTATACCTTCTTTATCACAGTGAGTGAATTTTCATATTTTAAGAATATTTGCCACTTTGTTAGGCAGATATTAATGTTGCATGATTTTAGTGTGTTTGATGGAACACTTACCAAAAATTTTTCTTTCACTCTTTCCATCAGCTAAGATTTCACTGTGTTTTCCGATTTTGCTAAGCATGTTCTTATTTGAAAATTGATTTTGTATTGGGAAAATGGTGGTCGTTGGTGATTTATACAAGAACAGAATCCATAGAGTTGTGGAGATAAAAGCCAGACTGGATTGGATAAAGAGAACAGGAGGCGAGGACCATAGCACAGACAACTCCTTTGAAGAATTTTGCTATAAAGGAAAGCAGAGAAACTGGTTGTAGTGGAAGTGGAGCATGGGGTCAAGGAAGACTTGTTTTTTTTGAGGAAGATTAGCCCTGAGCTAACATCTGCTGCCAATCCTCCTCTTTTTGTTGAGGAAGACTGGCCCTAAGCTAACATCTGTGCCAATCTTCCTTTATTTTATACGTGGGACGCCTGCCACAGCATGGCTTGATAAGCAGTGCACAGGTCCATGCCTGGGATCCAAACTGGCGAACCCAAGGCTGCCAAAGCAGAACCCATGAACTTAACCACTACACCACCGGGCCAGCCCCCAAGACTTGTTTTTTAAAAATGGGGATGAACTAGCAGAGAAGAGAGACTGAGCAGTTGTCGACCTTAGGAAGAGCAGAGGAGAACCATGCATTTTAACAGGACATGATATGGATGCAGTGCAAGTAGGTTGGAAGATTTGGAAAGTGAAATGGTTCTATTCTAACTCCCAGTGAATCTAGAAATGGTTAAAAGCTGAAACAGGAGGAATGCTGGAATTTTGATGTGAAATGAGGTGTGAAATTGTGTTTCAGAGAATGGAGGAGTACATTGACTGAAGAAATCTAGTAAGATTGCCAGATAATGGCAAGGGCCCACCTAAGATTCATGGTTAGAAACTAGATGTGAGATCAGTCTACAACGTTTTTTCTTCTCCTCCCACATTAAGCTGCTCAGATTCCAGTGACAAATGAGTAAAGAGTTGAATTTACTAGGGTTGGGGTGCTCCAGGTAAGATGATTTAGGAAGAGAGAGGATAGGGAGTTAACGATTTTTGAAGTAGAGCTGTTACAGTGATGAGGCCAAAGCTTCTAAGCTAGGTGGAAGAAAGGCAAAGACACAAAGGGATTTTGGGGCAGCAAGAGTGGCGAATCAATCAACTGGAGGCCTCAAAGGGATGAAGAGATTATTGGAGAAGAGCTATTAAGACGAGAGTGTTAGGAAAACATTATGTGGTTTTTGGAGAGTAGGAAGCTTGAAATGGACAAGTGGGAGGTAGCGAAGTTGACAATGACCAGGTGAGATGCAGAAAGGATTGTTGAAAATGAGGTTGAAGTTCTGGGTCCAGGGTACTAGAGCCAACATCAGGGATCATGGTTGAAAGGCTTGATGAAGAGTAACGTAATAGAAAGTAAGGCTGTGAGCCAGGCGAAAAGTCCTCAGTGAATGAAGGAATTGGCAGACTGTGAGCAGATATGACTGCAGTACAGATGTGGTGGAGTCTGATGGCCTGCATTTCGGAGGAGAGAGGGTTTGAAGGAGGAGGGCAGAGACACGACGGGGAAGGGGAAATGAGCTGCAGGGAGGCCATCTTTTTTCTCCTCCAAATCCTTTCCAGGATTTAAGAAAGAACAGTTCCTGAGAAGGTTAGATAAAAATCAGGGCCCTGAGGGGACAGCTAGATTTTGGTATTTAGTATTTAGTATGTTGAAAGTAAAGGAAACACTGAGAGAAATGGTAGACAACATAGGGGTTGGGTGGGATTAGGTGTTCCTGGTGAAAGGCCATGAGGTCAAGGATGTACAGTGGCAGCGCTTGGGAGGGTTGGGCTTTTTTCTAAGGTTAGCTGTCCACACTAACCCCGTTGTCTGCCCAGAGATGTCCAGCCCAGTCCTCTCATTTTAGAGACAAGGAGGCTTGGGCCCAGAGAGGAAAATGCTGCAGAACTTGCTCCCTTCTCAGTCACAGGTTCTGAGTCTGGAATAAAGTCTGAGGGAGTCTTCTTGTCCATCTCCACCTGGAGAAGAGCCCTCGTTCTAGCTAGAACCATCATGGTATGGGGACATCACCCCCTTACTAGAGCCATTTTCTCCATGCAAAGAACACTTCCTGCGTCTTCCATCTGCCGGGCCTAGTTTGGCCAATGCCATCTTAAGCTGCCCCAAATCTGGAAATGGCTATTTCCAAAGAAGCCTTTAGGCAACAGAAGGTGCTACAATCCCCTGCCACTCCTCAGCCCCTGAACTCCTCCCATTCTTCAGGAGGTTAGGGAAATGACAAGATCCTGCACTGGCTTTACTGCCCCTCTACTTACAGTTCAATTTGTCCAACCCAAATGGAGGCTTTTTCATCTTCTTCCCTTTTGCAGATGAGAAAGTGCATCTCAAACGGGTGAATTCCCTTCCATGAGGCCACACAACATGGAAGCGGTGGAACCTGCCTGTGAGTGAAGCTCAGCCTCTGACCCCAAAGCTATTGCAAGTCGTTATTGTGCAATTTTGCCTCCACTTCCTGGCGGTGTGACAAGCTCCTAGTCTGCAGGGCGAGGGACAAAAGTAGCGTGGTCTCAACGCAGGATGACTAGGGCCAGACAGCATGATGTTAGTTTTCCCAGGTTGGAGGAAGCTTAAAGCAGAAGGTGGCACTGAGTTGGGCTTTGAAGGACGAACTGGAGTCGACTGGGAAGGAAAGCGAGAAGGGCGTTTATGGCAGAGGGAACAGTGCGAGTTCAGGCTCGGATGTTCTGTAGTTCTGAGCCTCCTATTAGTCACAGCACTGAGCCCTGACAGAGCGCAAGGGTGAGACCTCCGATGTTCCCGCGCCTTTCGCCCCAGGCGAACCCCCGAGACACGCCTCCCTTTCTCGACCTTGACTGGCCACAAGACACATCAGGACCACCAGCGGCCTTGGCCCTGATGGACCGTGAGGCTGTACCAAAGGACACACCCCCAGGGCTGACGCTTCGGAGCTTACTTGGCTCTGATGGGTTGCGAGACTCGCGCCTCCAGGCAAGCCACTCAGAGGCGTCCACCCTTGCCTCTGATTGGCTGTGAGAAGCGCGTGCTCAGACACGCTTTTAAGGGCAGCATCGTTGCCGGGGCAGCGTTAACTGCCCACCGCCATGTTTGTTTTCAGGCTCGGTGTGTGCTGAGAGGTAACGTGACTGCGGAGCCATGGGGAGGAGGAGGCTGTGGGACCCGGGCAGCGGCTCTCACCTGCCTCTGGGCGCTGGAAGCGGGGGAGCCGCCCGGGTGGGGCCAGAATGTGGGGTGACTGGCCCTCATCCCCCCGAAAAATCCCCCTCAGGGCATAGCAATCCCCCCTGACCTACAGTCGTGGGCCATTTCCTCCTCTCAGTGAGTCTGTAACTGTGACAGGAGGGCGGGCTGAGGGGTGGGACGAGGCCACCGGGGTCCTGGCCTCACCTGACAAGGAAGGGTCTCGGAGGGGGCCGGGAGGACTAAGACCACTGGTCAACCATCGAGCCCCTTTGCAGTGACTGGATTTGCTCTTTGATGAACTCTTTGGCCTCTTCTTGACGTCACACTGAAACATTTGCTCCTAATTAGAAAATAATGCATATTTCGTTCTTCAGAGTTTGAGAAAAATTGTATTAGCTTATATGTAGTCCTTTGGGTGCAAAGAGAAAATTAGCTGGTGCCTCCTGTCCTCAGTGGATGGCAGGAAGAATTGTCGGGATTAAGCTCTGAGAAGGAGCTGTAGTAGTGTGCTGGGAAGAAAAAAGACCGGGCTTTGGGTAGGAAGAAAACCATCAGGAGCTCAAAAGAAGACAAGGAGATGGGAGTTGACCATCTCGTGGAGTTTTCCTAAGGACTGCCTACCAGATAAAGCCTTGCACCTGACACCTGGCATCCACTAATCTGTTCCCAATCTCTATAATTTTGTCATTTTGAGAATGTTATAAAAATGGAATCATACAGTTTGTAACCTTTTGAGACTGGCATTTTTCATTTAGCATAATTAGTTTGCAACCCACCCAAGTTCTTGCATGTATCAGTACTTGTTTTTAGGAGAGGTTGGGGTTCTTTGTGGACCTGTGTTATACCTTGAAATGACATGGGCTGACTCCTCTTAGCCAGATGTGATATGAAAAGATAGTTCAGAGCTTAGGCATTGGGTATTAATCTAGGCTCCACCACTTAACAGCTTTATGATGTTGGCATGGCTACTAGTATGTTTATATCTCAATTTTCCCATCAACACATGGAAGTTGAAACAACCTACCTCACAGAGTTATTGGGAGGAGTGAAATGGAAATGGTAGATGTATGCTCAGCAGAGTGGGTATCACAAAGTAAACATTCAATAGTTCGTCTATTAAGAGTTCTATTATTCATGTTATTTATGTCAATGTGAGAGAATAAGATTGATTATGGCTTTTCGTATTTGAAAAGGATACCCATTGCAAAATATCTGACAGACATTTTTCCAAAGAAGATATACAGATGGCCACCGGGGACATGAAAAGATGTTCAACATCACTAATTATTAGGGAAATGCAAATCAAAACCACAATGAGATATCACCTCACGCCCATCAGAATGGCTATAATTAAGACAAGACAAGAAATAAGTGTTGGAGAGGATGTGGAGAAAGGGGAACCCTCATTCACTGCTGGTGGGAATGTAAACTTGTGCAGCCACTATGGAAAACAGTATGGAGATTCCTCAAAAAAACTAAGAATAGAACTACCATATGATCCAGTTATTCCACTGCTGGGTATTTATCCAAAGAGCCTGAAAATTTGAGTGCATAAAGATATCTGCATCCCTATGTTCATTGCAGCATTATTCATGATAGCCAAGACTTGGAAACAACCTAAATGTCCATCAGTGGATGAATGGATAAAGAAGATGTGGTGTATATACACAATGGAATACTACTTAGCCATAAAAAAAGATAAAATCTTGCCATTTGTGACAACATGGATGGACCTTAGGGTATTATGCTAAGTGAAATAAGTCAGAGGGAGAAAGTCAAATACCATATGATCTCACTCATAAGAAGATAAAAACAACGAGAAACAAACACATACGGAGATTAGATTGGTGGTTATCAGAGGGGAAGGGGGAAGGGAGGAGGGTGAAAGGGGCGACAGGGCTCACATATATAGTGATGGATGGTAGTTAGTCTTTGGATGGTGAACATGATGTAATCCACACAGAAACTGGAATATAATAATGTACACCTGAAATTTATATAATGTTATAAACCAATATTACCTCAATAAGAAAAAAAATCAATAAAAAAGAAAGTGAAAAGATAACCCACAGAGTGAAAGAAAGTATTTGCAAACCATATATCTGGTAAGGTGCCTGCACTCAATATGTAAAGAAAACAAGCAGCTCAGTAATAAAAAGAAAAAGAACGTAATTGAAAAATGACAAAAGGATTTTTTGAAATAAATTTTATTTTCTATGCTATGTGCTATTTTTGTGTGTATGTGTGTGTACTCGTAACATTAACGCCTTTTTTTAAAAGAGATTTTATTTTTTCATTCTTCTTCCCAAAGCCCCCCAGTACATAGTTGTATATTTTTAGTTATGGGTCCTTCTAGTTGAGGTACATGGGATGCTGCTTCAGCATGGCCTGATGAGCGGTGCCATGTCCATGCCCAGGATCTGAACCAGCAAAACCCTGGGCCGCCGAAGCGGAGCGCATGAACCTAACCACTCAGCCACAGGGCTGGCCCTGACAAAAGAATTTGAATAAATATTTCTCCAAAGAAGATAGACAAGTGGCCAATTAACACACAAAAAGATGTTCAACATCATTAATCATTAGAAAATTCAAATCAAAGCCACAATGAGATACCACTTCACATCCACTGTGACAACTAATTAAAAAGACCAATAATGACAAGTGTTGGAGAGAGTGCAGAGAAATTGGATCTCTTATACACTGCTGATGGGAACGCAAAATGGTACAACTACTCTGGAAGTAGTTTGGCTGTTCCTCAAAGAGTCATATATAGAGTTACCATATGACCCAGCAATTCCACTAATAGTTATTATCCACAGAGTGTGTGTTCACCAGTAACCTGTACATGGATATTCATAGCATTGTTATTCATAAGAGCTGAAATGTGGAAACAATCCAAAAGTCAATCAATTGATGAATGAACAAGCAAAATGTAATAGAGCCATACAATGGAATATTATTCAGACATAAAAAGAATGAAGTACTGATATATGATATAACAGGGGTAAATATTAAAAACATTATGCTCAATAAGCTAAGCTAGACACAAAAGGCTATATATTGTATGATTCCATTTATGATTCTGGACATTCTGAAATGTTCAGAAAAGGCAACTGAATAGGGCCAGAAAGTATATTAGTGTTTGTCAGAGGCTGGTTGGAGGTAATAGGAGGGGAATTGAAAGTAACTGCTGATGGGTATGGAGTTTCTTTTTGGGGTGATGGAAATGTTCTGGAATTAGATAGTGGTGATGGTTGCACAACTTTGTGAATATGCTAAAACCACTGATAAGTCACAAATAAACAGCATTTACTTCTTGTATTCAATAGAGGGGATAAGAAAAAAGTATACCGATGGCCAGCGATAATTTCAGCCTATGTCTAATCTCTACCACACTAAACCTTTTACCGTCTTAAAACAAGATGTCTGTCTTTTCTCCGCTTTTTGCCTCTGTCCTCACAGTTTTCTTTACCTTGCCTAGCAGTCCTTAGCTTATGCATTCTCCACCTGGCAAATATGGCAAATATAGCTGGCAAATGTTAATTGTTCTTAGAAGCCTTTGTTCATTCTCACAGAGATACTGTTCTACAAGAGAACAAAATCCTATCCAATTCTCTATTCCAAATATTGTACTTTATTATAATTATTTCCTCATATCTTTATTTCCCCCAGTAATCTATTAACTATTACCCTGAGATCGTTGATAGTCATCTTTAAACCCCCGTTGTCCAGCACAGTGCCAGTCATATAGGAGATGCTCAGTAAAATTGTTGAATCAGTGAATGAATTCTTGTGTAGGAGAATTGCTCACAGCTTGAATTTCTAGGAAAAGTATATTTTTGAAAGTATATGCACATTTTAAATTGGTAAATTTCTCTGTAGGAATATCATAACTTCTTTGTCACTCTATGATATTCCATCAAGTGAATTCTATAGTTGTGATCATCACCTAGTAGAGTTTTATGGTATGCTTTGTTTCATTACATATATAAACATTTTCATTTATTATTACATAGTCTTCAGAAACATAAGTTTATAACTGAATATAGTTGTTGTTCCTCAGTTTAAATGTTTCACTATTGTTGGAATTTCATTTGCTTTCACTCTTAGCATTCCATATCAAACTGCAATGATCACCTATACACATAAAGTCATTTCTATATTTGGATTGTTTTCTAAGAAAAGATAACTAGAAATGGGATTACCAGATCATTTTAGGACACGATAGATAGCATTATTATGGTTTTGCTATCTCTTAAAATATTGTTGAATATGATAGGCTAAAATGGTATCTCACCACTTTTTACATTTTCCATTACAAGTAAGATTGAAATTATTCCATCATGATTTATTACTGACCATTTATTACTAGTTGTATTTCCTTTTCTGTGAGTTATCTCTTTTTCTCTTTGCCCAATATTGGAGTCTTAGTGTTTTTCTTATAGTCTTATGCCAACCATTTATATTATAAAGATGTTCACTCAACATATAATTATGAGGTCCTATGTGTATGATGCTGTTCTAGGTGCTGGATATATAGCATTGAACAATCAGGCAAAAATCTTTCATTAATTTTTACTCTAAAATGTGAGACAGAAAAGAAATAAAAGAATAGAATATTTAACATTTTAGATATTAAGAAAGGCTAAGGAGGGGTGGGCCCGGTGGTGTAGTGGTAAAGTTTGCATGCTCTGCTTCCGTAGCCTGCAGTTCCCGGGCGCGAACCTACACACCGCTCACTCATCAACCCATGCTGTGGCAGGATCACATGTGCAAAATAGAGGAACACTGGCACAGACGTTAGCTCAGGGCCTATCTTCTCCACCAAAAAAGAAAGAAAGAAAGAGAGTAAGAGCGAGAGAGAGAGAGAGAAAGAAATGCTGAGGAAAAAAGAAAAGCAGAATGAAGATAGGATATGTCAGAGGGGGTTGAAATGTTCATTTGGATAAAAATGGAAAGCCTCATTGGGAAAGTAATTTTTTGGTAAAAACTTGAAGGGGATGAGAGAATTTACTGTACCTATCTAAAAGAAGAATATATGAAACAGAGGAAACACTGAATGCAAAGGACCTAAGGTGGCAACATGCCTGGCATCTTTGAGGCATAGGCTAGAGTGGAGAGAAAAAGGAGGAGATAGTAGGAAATGAGGTTAGAATATTAAGGTTAGATCATGTAGTGTCTTAAAGTCGTAATAAGGGCACTGACTTTTGTATATATATAATATTTTCATTTAGATATAATTCACCTTTTTAAGTGTACAATTCAGTGGGTTTTTTTGTATATTCACAGAGTTGTGCAACCGTTTTCACAATCAGTTTTAGAACATTTTCATCACCCCCAAAAGAAACCCCCTACCCGTTAGCAGTCACAATTCTTTCACCCTCCTCTGCCCCAGACCTATGCAACCATTAATCTACTTTCTGTCTTTATAGATTTGCCTATTCTGGGTATCTCATATAAATGGAATAATATCTGGTCTTTTGTGACTGGCTTCTTTCACTTACCATAACATTTTCAAGGTTCATCTATGATGTAACATGTGCTAGTGCTTTCTTCCCCTTTATAGCTGAATAATATTCCATTGTATGGATATTCTACATTTTGTTTATCTGTTCGTTGGTCGATGGACATTTGGATTGTTTACGCCTTTTGGCTATTATGAGTAATACTTCTATGAACTTTCATGTACAATTTTGTGTGTGTGGATGTATGTTTTTATATCTCTTGGATGTATACCCAGGAGTGGAATTGCTGGGTTATATGGTGACTCTTTTTATTGGGGGAACTGCCAAACTGTTTTTTAAAGCAGCTGCACTATTTTACATTCCCACTAGCAATATATGAGGGTTCCAATTTCTTCACCTCCTTGCCAACACTTGTTATTATCTGTCTTTTTCATTATAGCCATCCTAGTGAATATGAAGTTGTATATCATTGGGGTTTTGATTTACATTTCCCTAGTGGCTAATGATGTTGAGGATCTTTTCATGTGCTTATTAACTGTATCTCTTCTTTGGAGAAATGTCTATTCAGCTCCGTTCTCCATTTTAAATTTGGTTATTTGTCTTATTGAGTTGTAAGAGTTTTTATATGTTCTGGATACAAGACCCTTATCAGATAGATGAATTGCAAATATTTTCTCCCATTCTGTGAGTTGTCTTGTTACTTTCTTGATAGTGTCCTTTGAAGCACAAAAGTTTTTAATTTTTATGAAGTCCAATTTATCTTTTTTTCTTTTGTTGCTTATACTTTTGTGATATATCTAAGAAGGCTTTGCCTAATCCAAGATTACATGCAATAACTCACAATACCATAAACTGTGGCCAGGAGTAATTTGAAGATGCCTCACTACACCTGTCACCTGCTGGCAAGATTCATTACCCTAATACTACAGTTTTCAAAGCGTGGAATGGAGAGCCTTGGGGGAACCAGAGATGCTTTTAGGGTGTTTGCAAGTCCAAAGCTATTTTAATCATAATATTCAGATGTTATTTGCCTTGTTTACTATGTTTATATTTCACTGATGGTGCAAAAGCATTGGTGCGTAAAATCACTGGCATCATCATCACGTCGAGTAGCCTCTGGGAAATTTCATTATGCACTCTCTAGAGAGAGAAAAGTTAAGATTATTTAACTTAGTATTATTAGTAGCAGTACTACAAAAATAGTCTTGACCTCATGGACCCCTTGAAAGAAACTTGGAGCCACTTAGGGGTCCTAGGACCATGCTTTGAGAACCACTATACTGCCATGATAGATCTTTTTTTTCTTTTATTAAGATTATGATAGATTACAGCCTTGTGAGATTTCAGTTGTACGTTATTATTAGTCATGTTGTGGGTATACCACTTCACCCTTTGTGCCCTCCCCCCACTCCCCCCTTTTCCCTGGTAACCACTGATCAGTTCTCTTTGTCTATATGTTAACTTCCACCTATGAGTGGAGTCATATAGAGTTCGTCTTTCTCTGTCTGGCTTATTTCGCTTAACATAATACCCTCAAGGTCCATCCATGTTGATGCGAATGGGACGATTTTGTCCTTTTTTATGGCTGAGTAGTATTCCATTGTGTATATATACCATAGCCATGATAGATCTTTTGATGGAAGAATTATTTGAAATGCACTTTAAATTTCTAACACTATCACTTACATATTAATGAATCTTTGACTTCACCCAATATTAACATTTTATTTTATTTAGTTTTCATATATGACTTTCAGTTTATTTTAAATTAATACATTATACCTATTTTTAACTTTTTTATTTCAAACTTAGTGATGAAAAGGCTGCACATGCATATAATCAGGCTGTGGCCCTTAACTGCCAAAATGAATTATTAAAGTCTAGCTGGGGTGCAAGAGCAATACTAAAGATCTGCCATATGACATAACAGCTGGGGTAATATCTTTATCATAAAATTAATTATGTGGCTTTTCTAAGTTTAACCCTACAGTAAGATTTTCTCCCCAAATATTCCAAGCTCTGTAATAAACTATGACTGCTAAACGGTAAGGTGTGTGGTGATCATCTCGACCACATTCATATGTAAGAATTCTGAAGCTTAACTTTCGATTTCATGACAAGGAATGTATTTTCATATGTAAATGTTCCACTACTTAAGAATGGTAATATTCTTCGGATCCTCCAAATTCGTTTTGAACTTCTGAATCTACAAGTTAGATATAAAATAAGATTGAACCCAAAAGCTGGTTATATTACTTCATAGCACATAACCCACGAGAGGCCCTAGTATGCAGATGAGGATGTGACAGTGAATTTGGAGCGCCAGTCAACTCTGGAGGCAACAGAAGAACCAAACAGGAACTCTTAGCGAAGCAGAAAGAAGCTAAAGCATTTTAAAACATATTGAGTGGGTGAGTTTAAATACTATAGCTCTAATTTGGTTATTCCCTTATTTGTAAAACTTAGTTGATTAGCAGATTTTGCTCATGAATACATGACGTAAATTACACTCAAAGTGGAACATGCATTTCTTTGTTTCATTCTCATGATTCTAAAATCAGCTTTATATATTAAAACATGTTTAATGTAGCTTGACTGTCACTTTTGACCAAATCAGTCCCACTTCTCAATTATATGCGAGTGGTCGTTTTTCAGCCCTCAATAATTGGTCACACCACCTCTTCCTTTTCTCCTTAAATAAACTAAGAGATTCAAATAAATACGTCTTGGAACTGCTAACAGTATGTATGTGTATCATAAAGTAAAATGAGCCCAGTTAAAAATGGTATGAAGGAGCAGGACTTTTATGATCAAGACATACTGTTGCACCATGGATACATTTTATCACATGAGCTTATTATTACATCAGGTCATTGTGTAGGTTGTGAGTGTTGCTCATGTAATGTTTTTGCGCCTAAAAGTGTATGTATACAGGCACACATGCACACTCACACACATTCTTGTTTGATAACATCTTCACAGTATCATTTTCTGTTGTTTTATTACATAAAGTTTAAATATTTTTGGAAAAGAGTAAAAGTCAGTTTTTTCTACATGACGTTTTTAAGTACCATTGATAATGATGAAAATTGTTTTTTGATTAAAAATACATTTTATTGGGGCTTGCCTGGTGGCTTAGTGGTTGGGTTTGGTGCCTGCCTCTTTGGCGGCTTGTATTCATGAGCAATGCTGTGGCAGCAACCCATGTACAAAACAGAGAAAGACTGGCATAGATATTAATTCAGGACGAATCTTCCTCATCAAAAAAACCCACCAAAAACTGTTTTCTTTTACATTAGGTATCACTTCTTATCTTGACATGTTCTCAAATATCATGGCACAGGAGAACCACGGTGGCAATGTGGATATAAGGTAAATGCTCAGTCCTTCCTACTGCATCTCCCTCTCCACATTGACTTCTGGTACTTAGGGAGGCCATTTTGTTGTTGTTGTTGAAAGCCCTAGGTATTGCAGTTCAAGGCCCCATTATTTGGCTCATCATGGCACCATTGTTTTCTGACCGGTTTTTCTCCTCTTTTCACTCTAGATCAAAAAAAGATGGCAGCAACAGAGCATGGAGCACCTCTGCAGGCTGTCTTCCAGTCTTCACAGCCACATCCTGCTTCCCGCAGGTCCCACCCAAAGATTCTCAGAGCTGCAGGAATAAGATTTTTTTCCAACTTCCTTCCTCATGGTGACTCCTCATGTCACTATCTTTTTTTTTTTTTAAAGATTTTTTTATTTTTTCCCTTTTTCTCCCCAAAGCCCCCCAGTACATAGTTGTATATTCTTCATTGTGGGTCCTTCTAGTTGTGGCGTGTGGGACGCTGCCTCAGCGTGGTTTGACGAGCAATGCCATGTCCACGCCCAGGATTCGAACCAACGAAACACTGGGCCTCCTGCAGCGGAGCGCGTGAACCCAACCACTCGGCCACGGGGCCAGCCCCCTTCATGTCACTATCTTGAGGGCTGTGGTAACGATTTCTCTGTGGTAAAAGTGCCTGTGATACTCTTTTCCCTAGTGCCTCTCTCACATATAAGATGGCAGTATTAAAATTGCTTGTACTGAGTCTACTGTCATATTTCCAAAACTACGTACATGGTAAAATAAAAATATGCAAATGCATATTGTATATTTTGTGTCTCCAATTGTGTTTAACAGGGAAGAGATAGGACCTTGGGTTACGGAGGGAGGAAGAACCTCAGTCAGGGCTGACTTACAGGCAGAAAGAATTGGAAGGAATTAGGTACTCCAGAGACAGGATTTGGTGGATTGTATGTGTGTTGGGTGGTAGTTACTGGGGAGGAAGAGGGCAGTGTGCAGGGTACATGCTCTGAAGAACCATAACATTTGGGTGATAAACATGTTGGTATCTAGCAGTATGGAAGGGGCTATTCGTCTTTGGACTCTAGGCACCATTCCATGGAGACTCTGCTGCCCATCAACAGTCTCCCATTGTTTTTGTTTTTGTGTTTGTTTTTTACTGGTTCCCAAGGTCGAACAACTGCAGTTTCACCAATGGGGCTATAGTCTGGGGAGTAGGACAATATTTTCGGGGCTTCCTAATAATGTAAGTCTATCTGTAGAACAAAGTCATTGAACTAGGCCTCCTTAATTGAAGATTGATTCAATAAATAAACTCATAAATCGAACGGTTACATATATATTTCTACTGATTGAGTACAGCAAAGATTAAAAGGCGGGAGTGTTTCCCAGTCCTGCTCTAGTCTTTGGCATCCTTTACGGCGGGAATTTGAGGAAAGGGATGGGCGATGTTCTTAGATCAACCACATGCCCTCATCTAGACTCTCCCAAGCAAAAGCAAGGGAAGAGGGACGAGGAGCTCTACTGCTGAAGCGGCCACTGGGAACAGCGGTGGGCGTTTTGCATCTCCTCCTGGTCGCAGCATGGAACCAGTAAGGAGGTAGGCAGCCGTGATTGGCTGCGTTGCCCGCTCCGCCTGTCGACCGGGAGACACGCCCTCTTGGGGCTCTCTTGGCTCTGATAGGCTGCGAGGCTCGCGCCCCTCCACGTGCCATTCACACACGCCCCTTGTGAACCGAGACTGGAGCGGAGCCTCTCAGCCCTCACCGGCTGGCCACCATATTTTCTCTTACTTTCTCCTTGCTGGGTTTTGTGCAGGGGTGAGAGTGGTGGAAGCTGGGGTTCGGAGGCTGAGGGGATCGTGGGAGGGCCGGCCGGGTCCCACTCGCCTCAGAGCACCAGGGTGCGTGCTGGGGGTGGGCTGTGGGGTGCCCAAGCCTTACACCCCAAAATATCCACCTCAGGGGATAGAAATCTCCCGTGGCCGACAACCCTGGGCAGTGTCTTCCCCTCAGTGAGTCTCTTACAGCAACATGAGGACAGACTGGGTGGGGATGAGGCCGTCGGGGTCTGGGTCCTTTCTGGCGTCAGAGGGTCGTGCACGGGAAGACTGTGATGTTTTATCAACCATCAATCCCTTTGAGGTGATTGGATTTGCTCTTTGATGAACACTGGCCTCCTTGTGACTTCATACTGATACATTTGTTCCTAATAAGAAAATAATGCATATTTTATTCTTCAGAGTTTGAAAAAAAAGGTACGTGTGTGTTATATATAGTTCCTTGGATGCAAAGAGGAAATTAGCTGGTGTCTCCTAGCCTCATCTGATTGGAAGAAAGAGTTGCCAGGGTTAAATCCAAAGAAGGGGTGCTGCCCACGGGCTAAGCTGGCCCACGTGTGCTTGGAGGAAAGGGGAGACCAGCCTTTGGGGCAGAAGAAAACCACCAGGAGCTCAAAAGAAGACAAGGACATGGAAATTGACTGTCCCGTGGGGTATTGCTAAGGGCCACCTACTAGATGAAGCCTTAGACACATCTGCATTACTGTGTGCACGGGTGGAGCCAACATTGAATTTGAAGGAAGAGGATTGATGAGGTTACAGTTTTTCTTATTTCAAAGAGTGCTGATGCCGGTGATGACTTCAGCCCTGATTTCAATTACTGTTAGCCTCTAACCCTGATCTACTACACTGTACCTTGCCATCTGTAGTACCGTCTGCAAACAGATTGCCTGCCCTTTCTCTGTTCCTTACCTCTGACCCCACTGTTTCCTTTGCCTGGCCAGTTAGTCCTTACCTCAGGCCTTCTTCATCTGGCAAATATGGTTGGCAACTATCAACTCTTCTCAGGAGCCTTTCTTTATTACAACAAACAGGGCCAGGTGTGATTTCTGTTCTGTTATAGAATTGTGCTCAAATCTCATTCAGTATTACGCTTTGTAAAATTGTCTCTTTATTTTACTACATAATTCTGTTCAAATCTTATTTTACATATTGCACTTTGTTGTAACTATCTCCTCACATCTTTGTCTTCTCCACTAGACAGTGAACTGGGGCCGTGAAACACAGACACTTCATCTTGAGATCTCCATTGTCCAGTGTGTAGGAGATGTGCAAGAAATCTTGTTGAATCATTGAATGAATTTTTCACATAGGAGAATTGGTCATAGCTTAAATTCCCAGGAAAAAAATCTCTTGATCAAAGGATATGAACAGTTTAAATTTGAAACATTTCAAATTGTCAAATTGTCCTGCTAAAAGATTGTTCCAATTTATATTCCAAAATAGAATATAAATTGGCTTCCGTGGCTAGATAATGTTCTAACAAGCCGCTTTAGCTGAATCTACACTGTCGTGGTCATCGAGTTAGGTCATGCTTTGTTACATTTGATATGTAACTGTTTTCATTTATCACTAGTAGTCTTCATAAACAATTTTCACGCCCATGTAAATGTTTCATGCAGTGTTTGTTCCTCAATTTGTTTAGCTGTTCCCACATTGTCAGTTGCATTTGTTATCATTCTTTCAGTATTACCCACTAACCAATGATCACCTTTACACATAAAGGTTTTTGTGTGGTTTTCTTAGGAAAAACAAACTAAATGTGGAATTGCTAGATCATGTTACAACTCTTGATACACATCATCAGTGTGATTTTTTTTATCACCTCTTGAAATATTTGTGACTATGATGGGGTAAAATGGTATCTCAGATTAATTTGTACATTTTTTTTTGGTTACTAGGAATATTGAGCATTAAACCATTATCATTTATTATTAATTGCATTTTCTATTTGGTGAACTGTAATTTTTTTATCTTTTAACCATTACTGAAGTCTTAAATGTCTTTCTTAATTCATATAAAGTAATTTGTATAAGATATTCGTTCAGCAAATAATTTTGAGCATTTCCCGTGTGTGTGACATTGGTTTAGGTGCTAGAGATGTAATAGTTAACAAAGAAACAAAAATCCTTGCACTTATGGAATTTAAATTCTGTGTGAGAGAAAAGAAATAAAACAGAATATTCAGTCTTTTAGGTAGTGATAACTACTTTTGAATTGAAACACTTTTCTTCTTTATGTGATTTTTTCTTCTATTTAAAAAATTATATTCTACCCTTTTAGAGATTTCCCTTAAATTTTAAACTACAAAATTAACTAATAAAGTCTTAATATAAGACTTTAATGTGGAACACATTAGTTCTGATCATTCTGCTGTTTGTTTTATATTTTATTATTGAACGATATTTTAATTCTATCTCGTATTTATTTACTTCCAAATTATTCAATTCACTCTTGTTTTACTTGGTTGATTTTAGTTCAGAAATGCATGTTCACTAATTTTGCTCCATTGTCGCATATCATATCTTCTAGGATCATTCATGAGCATCATGAAACCTTAATGTTTTATAAAGAAAATTCAAATCCCTTTCTCTGTGAAGTAGGGAAAAAATGCATTAACTGAGAAGCCTTAATACAACATACAGATGCTAAGATCCAATAGACGTGAATTTTCTCTTTGCGAGCTCTTCCTTAGTGCTCTGATAGATTTAATAAAGAAAAAGGGAAAAGAAAGATTGGCTTTTAGCCTTTGAAAGAAACATATGAGCTTCATGAAACTCTAGACGTGATTCTTCACGTGAACTCTTCATTTTATAGTAATTCCAGTTGGTAGAACATTTAAATGTTATTTGGTTTAATAAAATGACAGAATTACTATTACCAAAGCTACTGACTGTTCTTAATACTTTGGGTGACAAAATGAGAAGTAGGCCTAGATCACTCTGCACATTAGAATATGATGGTTGTCTCAAGAACGATTCTTGTATAATTGTTTGAGTTGCGAACTTAAGTAGCACTTGTTTCATAGAATTCTATTGTAAATTTTAAAATATTTTCTGCAAAGAAATGTTATCTTTGAGCTTTAAAGGCAAAAATTTAAATGTATCATGAAATAACCATTTCCTATCTCATGGCCAAAGTAAGTTAGAAAATGTTTCTGTACCTGCTGCCACCTGCTGGCAGGTTTCATTTCCTAAAATAGCAATTTTCAGAGGGTCGTCCTTGGACTCCTGGGAGTGAGAGAGAAAGTCCCTGTGACTCTTTCGAGGGGATCCATGGTGTTAAAACTACATTCATAATAATACTGTAACTTTATCTTTTTTACTCTGATGATATTTGCACTGATGGTATAGAAACAATGGTGAATGAAACCACTGGGACAAAGGACAAACCAAGGCAGTACCAGGAAACTGTACCAAAAGACACTTCGCTGCCGTGCGCTCTCAGGGCCTGTTTTATTTAAGCAGTCTTTGGTGAAGCAGGAAAAACTGATTTTATTATATGTAGCCTTGAATTCACATGGAATTCCATTTTACTTGAAAGAGTGACTTCCAATTTATTTTGTAGACATTTTGTTGAAAATTAATGAAAGGAGCCTGTCATTTCCAGTAAAACACTTGACGGTATTTGTTACCAATGATAAAACTTGAGCTTTCAAGTGAAAATT